CTCTCCTAGTCTCTGTCTTACAAGCAATCTGAATAATCACTTCATCTAGTATTTTCACATTGTATCTGTTGACCTCCTTGTGAGGCATCCTTCAGACATCCTGATAACCATCAACTCGGTTTTCTAATCCCTCATTTAGAGAGTTTCAGGTAAATCTTTAAATGAAGCTCACAGAGAAGCCTAAAGTTATATCACATTGCTGTGTCCTTCACTTTACTTCCTGATACTTAGATATTGTAATAGTTCTCATGACCAAAAGTAGAAAGGTGGGTATATAATAGTGAAATATTTTTGAGAAATAGAAATAGAGAGCAATCAGATTCCTTTATTTATAGTAAATTATTATAACTGTTATTAGTAGTAATTGTTAGCCTTGATTGTGTTTACTTTATAAGTGAAACTTTTCTATAGACAAACAATTGTGGAAGAAAATGTCATGCTATAGAATTTTGTTACTATCTTTGTTTTCAGGTATTTTCTTAGACATTGAAATGCATTTACTTATGTGAGGAAGAAGTTGATGTATTTAGAAAAGTTAATAAACTACTTAGTGATTGGCAATATTTAAATATGTACTTTCATGTTTGTGTCATATGATATTGCTAGATGAGTAGATATGAGCCCTTTTCAGATTATCTGGGATTCTGCACAAACTATCATGTTGCTCATGAATAACTTACTAATTACTCTTAGGGTTTTACTGCTGTGAAGAAACACCATGGTCTTGGCAGCTCTTATAAACCACAACATTTAATTGTGGTGGCTTACAGTTTCAGTGATTTAGGCTATGATCATCATGGTGAGATGTATGGAATTGTGCAGGCAGATTTAGCAGTAGAGGAGCCAAGAATTCTATATCTTGGTCTAAAGGCAGAAGGTTCAGAAAGAGACTGTTTTCTGTAGGGAGCCATGAGGAGACTGGATTTCACACTGGGCATTACATAGTTTCAACATATATATGAAACCTCAAATCCTGCCTCCACAGTGATATACTTCCTTCAACAAGGCCTTCAACTCCTCCTAATAGTGCCACTCCAAATAGTTCAAATATTTGAATGCATGAATCAGTGGGGATAGGAGATACCTATTCAACCCACCCAAATCACACAACCCAACATATAAATAGTTTGGTTCTTTTTTTGTTCTTTGCTACACCATGAGAAATGTGTTTAATTTTCAAGATTTTAAAATACACCAAACTTGATACATAGAAAATGACAATTATTGAAATTGTTAGGAGAACAGCAAACATAGAATTTGGAGTGAAATTAATGCCACAGAATACAACCATTGTAAAAGATACAAGATCAAAAGTTAATTGTATTAGAGACCTAAAAAAGATGAATGCTTTAAAGTCAAAATAAACAATGAAAATGAAAACACATACGCACACACACACACACACACACACACACACACACACACACACACACAC